TGATTAAGCTTTTGAAAAAGTAGTTTATGAGTCCGAGATATTCGCTAGAATAATAGAAAAAAATGAACACAGATTTCGGATAAATTTAGAGTTCTATATTTTGCTCTTCTATTACGTTGAATATCAATTATATTGGAGATGTATACTACATTGCTTACTTAAATCTATCAATACATTGCAAGCCAGGACGTATTATGATTAATGAACGGTATGATGCTATTTAGGCATAAGGCCCCATTTAAACAAATATGAATATTTGTATCTCATTTTGCTTTCTTACGACGAGCTTATCATTAAAAATGTTTAATTAATCCCTTATTGATAGGTTTGCATTGATAACCTGTTTGTACAGGACTACTGACTTAGATAGACGTACTCGAATTATAATTAGCTTCTCCTTTGGTTTACTTGACGATAAACTTTGCTCCCACAATATTATTATGGCCAATGATTTATTTAACTAAGTTAATTTAATTACTTGTTATATTCCAGATTTTACACGGAGCTTCTCTTTTTGTTGGCTATTTAATCCTTCTGAAAGTAGAATTTAATAAAAAACGCAAAGCCGCATTGCTCCCAGTCTCCACTTTCTCCGAGATTCTTCCAAGCCTTACTAATGTAGGTTTCGAGATTGTTTTGTCGCTTAACCATAGATTTACGATAAGCCACTATTTATTTTCTTTGAGCAGTTTTCCGTGGATTGGCCCACCATCACTTTAGTGAAAAGCTTCTTTGCTCAAGGTCTACTGAAGCAATTTTTGACGGAAGGTGAGTTGCATATGCTTTTCCTATTCTTTGGGTGTAGAGAAAAATTTAGTGGCACCTTAAAATCGACTATTATGGCTACTCTATGAATATAACCGTAACAACTAATTCTTACCTATCATTTTACTGAAAAGTGGATCCGATCGGTAAAGCTCTAGGTATTAATAGCTTTTACAGCTTATTATGCGTATGAGGTGAAATTCTATTCTATTATGCAGACTAGTAAATAGATATATGCGAATAAAAGTTGGGTTTGGGGGGATCTATTGTTTCATAATTGTTGAGCTTAATTCCATTTCAAGTGAAAGTGTTGGGTGAAGAGATTATAAGGTATGTTCCACCAGAAGACGACGGCAG